CGGGCGAGGGTCGCAGAGCTACTCAGCGGGACCGGAGGCCGGGGAGACGGGCGGGGCGGCGCGACGCGGGTCGTGGCGTCACCGGACGGAAGTGGGCGGGGCGCGCCGGGCCGCAGAGGGGCGCGCCGGAAGTGGGCGGCCCCTCCGGGGCGAGCCGGATATAAGAGTCCTTCTCCTGAACGCGGCCACCAGGGAACTTGAGGCCCGCGGGAACCCCGGAGGTCCGCGGCGCTCGTTGGCTCGGCTTCCGGCGTAGAGGGCAGGTAGATGGCGACAGCTCCCTCGTCGTCCCGTCGCCCGGGCTGGCGGTTGGGGACGCGGTCCGCGGTTCGCCGCGGGTCATTGGGCGTTGGAGAGGGAGTGTTTGGGTGAGGGCAGGAGTATTTTATGTGCGTCTGAGCCTGGGGGCCATTTCTCTGGCCTCGAGACTATTAGCGCCGCGTATTGGCTTCTGCTTGACGCCCCAGATTAACCTAGTGATTCTGGGGGAACCACGTTATTCCAAGAAAGCGGTTAAAATGAAATAGGAAGTCCGCTTGGGGTATTTGTGACACAAGCTGGAGTTGGGTTGGGGTCCCTCGCCTCATGCTTTCGTTTTTTGACACAAATGTCACTGCACAGACCACGTTCTAGTCGGCATTAGGGACTATGGTTTCTTCATTTCTGAATTTCCAGATCCTGGGCACACAGTAAATCCTCGAGTTTTGGTTGAACGGAGGGAAGCACATATCTGACTGAGTTACTTTGTACTTAAGTTTAGTTGGAATATTCTTATCAACATAAACGGTCTTCTACACTAAAGAAACAAAACAGTAATAGGTCAATTTGTGGATCCCTTAGATGAATGGAGAAAAATATAGTACTGTTTTTAACCACCATGCTCTCTTTTCCAACTTGAAATATAATACTTCGAAAAGGGAAATATTAGCGTATATTAGAATAAACGAGTATCACAGAGGCGAGGTGGGGGTGGGATTGGAGTTTGGTGAGTGGATCAGAGAAGAACTTTTTCGGCAGGGGATGAACAAACCATGAACAAAGACAGCAATGGAAATTGGATGTGGTGTGCAGGTTGGGCATGGATTAAAAATAAGACAATCAAGAGAGGATATACAAGAGAAGTGTCACTTAAATGCGGAAACCACTGGGGCCTCATCGAGTTGGGAGATTACGTGATGCAAAATTTACGGCAGTAGCACTTAGATGGATTAGACGGAAGAGGGTCAGCTGGGGAGATAAGGAGAGGCTCTGCAGTGACAGGGAAGGGAACAAAGATGACAGTACTCAGGTTGAAGACAGTAGTAGTCTGCTAGAAATGCCTTTTCAAAGAACTTAGGGGATTTTAACCGAGATGGCTTTAGATTAACAACCTTTCAGATAACTGCACTGCCTTAGACAAATGATTGATGTGTTGAGAGGTGCCTGGAAACACAGGGGAAAAACAAGTGCTCTGGGAACAAAGAGTATCTCTAAGATTTTTTTTCTTTCATGAACATATCCAAGACAATGCAACATTCAACATCAGAACACTGTATGTGGATCAGAAGGAAATACTTGACATTATTTCATATGGTTTGAAACATGCTCACCCCCTTGCATTTCAATATCAGGTCAAGTTAAAGCAAAACACACACATAGTATGGGGAAATTTTCTTCATTTTTAATTTACAGCAGAAAGAATATAAAGCATTCAGAAAACATTTTCCATATTTTAAGGGCAATTCAAAACATTTTGCATGGTTTCCAGCAGCTGAGTTCTTCAACAGATCCATTGATTCAATGATGCTTTACATGCACAATTACAAAAATAAAACTTACAAAAAAGAAGACATCTAGACTAGTTTTACATGCAAGTCTCAGGGACCCCCCATTGGGCGCCAACTACTGTGTGGAACTGCCATAAGCGACCGTGCAGCCAGAGAGGGGTTCGTGTTATTGTCTTTATTTCGTTCACACAGTACAGCTGATTTCGAATGGGTAACAAGAATAGCAATTAAATCTTCAGGAGATAGAATAAGATTAGCTATTAATTTTATAATGAAATCCTACTCCTGGCACTTGGGAATTCAGATTATCCAAGAAAGCTGCGCTTACCTATCACCTTATATTCAAAATTAAGATTCAAAACCAAGAAAAAGCGGTCAGAAATGCTTCATTTCAGTGGAAGTGCATTTTTACCTCACCTAGGATTCACAGTTGTACTGGTAGGTAACACAGTAGGTTCTGAACCTACTTCCTATCCCCTCCATAAGAACCCTCTAATTCTATGTACGCCTTTATCTTCCAGAATTTTCTAACTTATTCAGTTAATAATGTAGTATGTGAAACATTAAAAAAAAAATAAATGTGAGGTTTAAAGCAAATCCACTGAGGTCATTTCTCTGGTCAAAAGAGCAGTTATTTGTACCATAATAAATGGAATAAACATATCTAAATTCAGTATTAATATAGAATATCCTGAAAGAGCTGGCTTTCACATTCTACTCCCATTTATGAATGCAATTGTGTGTTTGTAAATTACTCAGTGTTCTCCTATAGGTCAAACTGTGTGAAACAATAGGTGTCTGGGGGACTGCAACAGCTGCAACATACCCCACACATTTAAAAACAAAATGGACTCAGGTCAGTTTACAAATGTACAGGTGGCTACTAGTTGTGGGGCTGTCACCGCTGTCAAAGCTGATCACAAGCAGAAAGACATATACTGTACAGTAATTCGAGGTTGGCAGTGAAAGGAAGTAATTAAAAAACAAGTACAATTATAGAAAAGGCACCAAGAGCACTGACCCCAGTTTTTACCACAATCTTTTGTATCAACCTTCCTCATAAAGACACCAGTTTAAAAGCTTATTTGTGAATATTTTTAGGCTTCACAACAAGCCTTGAGTTTTAACTCGCAGTTGGCAGCCAGAACCAAGAAAAAACATCTAAGCTTCACACCAACTGATCCTCAAACTTAA